TAATAAGTGTTAAACAGCCAATGACAAACAAACATATTGACAATGATAAGTTTGCTAATTTTTTTTCTAAATATGATATGAAGACATTTTAGTTATTTACATTTGCAAAATACAGAACAGACACCACCTTTTCTTTTCTTTTTTTATCATTTTAGTTATTCTATATTTTACAGGCTTTTTATTTTTTTATTTTTTATAATGTGAGTGAGTCAGTGAACCATGGAAACAGGATCGCTAGTGATCTGATGGGGAGGTGGGAGGGAACTCAGTGAAGTTAGAGAGTGAACTGAGATAGGGCCCTGGACAAGCTGCGAGCCGATGAAAACAACGTGGACGTTCACGATTTGTTGGCTGCATACGGAACCACGGTTGGTGCTCCTCCCTTCATTGCCTTAATTTTTGGGGTCCCAAGCACTTGAATGGCCGTGCCTTCTCTTTCTTTTTTTTTTTAAATAAAAAGCCAATTTCTTTACAATAATTAAAATGCGCACAGGAACATATGCCTGTCAAATGTCCGTCTTCTTCTTTTTTTTTTCCTTCACCAGCACGTCGATTTTCTATCTAGTTTCGTTATGGAGAATTTGTTGCGTTATTAAGGGTCCATGACAAGCAATATTAATGAACCGTCAGGGATGCTAAATACAGTTTTCTCCAAAGTGCCCGACTTCGATTGCTTCGCTTCCTCCAAACAAAGATGCAACATTCAAGTTAATTATTTATTAAAAAAAAAAGAGCTATTTTCATTTTAAAAAGATCACTGTTTTTAATTATTAAATTTATATTTTATTTGAAACATTATTTGCCTGGGAACCAGCAGACAATCGAAACATAATTGTTATGATGGGGTGATGGGCAAACGCAAGTGGAGGATATATGGCATAGAATTGTAAGTGTTTGTTTGAAATAATTTATAAATAATTTTTTCAATCATGAGCAAAGAAATACAATAAATATATAAAAAACATTTTATCCTAATTTAAGAGAAATGTACTCATATGATAACTTTAAACCTAAATTCAAATGAGACTTAAGAAGGTGCTTGAATAGAAACCAAATCATAGTTTTAAAAGTAATATTAGTGTATACAAAGTAAATATGTAAAGGAGTTTGTCTCGTTTTATAAAAAAATACTTTTATATGTTCTCAAACACCCCCTAATTAAATGCAATAGCAACCCAGTAAGAGTGTGTTTGCAATAGCGGTGACATAAGTAATTTTTTTTTAATCTGACTTTTACAGAAGTCAAATTGAATAAAAGTCATATAGAATAATGTGATTTATGTTAGATTGGATTTTGAAAAAAAGTCAGTTTGAGAAGTTAAAACTTGTTTGGATGATAAATGTAAGTAAGTTTAGATATAAAATGACTTAAAAGGACATTAATTTTATTAAATAGTACATATCTAATATTAGATATATATAATGTGACTATTTTTAAAGAAGTAAGGAAAATAAAATTATTAAAAGTAAGGAAATTTAATTTATTGTTAAAAATAAATTATATATATAATGTGACCATTTCAAATGAGGAGTTTGTGTGTCTTTTTTTTTTTTAGGTGAGGTGTGAGAAAATTCATGTAGGGTCAGGTAGGTAAAAATTTTTAACAGCCAAATAAATGTTCTAACAGTATTTTCCAATGTCCTCAGCACACAAAAAAAAAAAAGTTTCAAAAAGCTTCTTCCAAAAATCCATTTCAGCATCAGAAGTCAAGATTGATCAAACGTGGACCCAAACACGTTTGAAATGCTCCTTCTTAGCTTATCAAGCGGGGATGCACGTTTGGGGGCCCCAAACACGTGATCCTAAACACAGTCTAAGCGATTGGGGATGGCCTTGGTCGCACAAACAAAAAATGGGAAGATAAAGTTGGCCCGTGGCCATGGCTGTACTATAATTACTTTAATATTATATTAAATTTTACTTTCTTTCACGTCTATTAAACATAAACATATATACAGTACTTTTAAGACCATGAAATATATTGTAAAAAGGAATAAAAACACCTTATAAAGAACACGTCGTATAGAAATGGGAGTAGTATGTATGACCAAACTACCGAAAAACTGATCCTTGTTTTCGTAACACAGAAGCCTGTGGCGTCTTTTTGTTTCCGACTCAGAGCTGCTCCGTGAAGTTTTCTCTTTCTTTGAGAGACAATACGTGGGGCCAAGATAGATGAGTGGATTGAAAAAAAAATTCAAAAAAAAAAAGAGGCAAAAATTGCATGCTCCCTTTCTACTACTTGAGTGATTGAGTCCACTGATTTTTTTTTTGGGGAATAAAAATAAATAGATAAGACAGAGGAAGTGGCATAATTATAAATTACTGGAGCTATTCTCTCCATGGTACGCTACACAGGACAACAGAGGAGGGGTCATGAGGAGCAGGAAGACGATGAATGCACTGATTAATCAGCTGTTCTTTCGGTTTAGGGAAGGGACGGTGGGTCATCTTTTTCTGGTTTTTGTCGCCCCTTCTTCCCATGTCATCCCATGCGTCACGTTTCAGTGGTGGTCACTTGTCCCGTTCCATTCATCCTCATCCCCCCATTACTCAATCATCATCATCTCTCTGTTCTTCCTCGTGCTCCTTTCAGTTTTTGCTCCAACATTATTCATCTCTGTACTAATCAGTCAACCCCTCCGCTTACCTGTGGCCATGTGAATTTGTCCCTGAATTCTAAAGGTCCACATGTGAAGGAGCCATGTACAGTATTGAGCTTGATTGGGATAATGTTTAAAAATACTTATGAGCACGTTTTATGTAAGATAAGCTTTATCTATTTATGTTTATCAAGGAAGTAGTTAAAATTAGTTTAAAATATGTAAAGCATGTAATTTCCCCCCGAATATATCTTTATTAATGAAAATAATAAGTAAAAGATGTAATAAATGAATTAACAAGAAAAGAAAATATATGTGGGTGAAATTGAAAAAAAAAAGTACTAAATATTTAGACAGAAATAAATTTTGTCTTATAAAAAAAACTAAATCTCTCTAACAAAGTTTAGTTTATATTTTGAATGAGAGGGAGTAACTAATTAAACAAACCGTACCCTTTTGACTTCTTTTTGGAAAGAACCGACCAATAAAAAAGTCCTGCATTACTTGCTTTTCCTTTACTCATAAGCACAATGTAAATATGGAGTCATTCGCAAGAATGTGCCTTTTCTTTATGCCGCACTAGTCTGATTAACAACAAAAGGTCCGTTCTTGAATTGTCTTTTATAACTTTTTATTTCCATTAACGTGGACGAGCCCCGAAAAAATAATTACTCAGAACAACAGCCCAGTGGGCTTCATTAGGGTTGATGATGGGCCTCAAAGGGCCCATCACAGTCATTTCTCCTCCCCTTCTTCATCCTCAAAATGGAAGAAACTTCTCTGGCATTTTTCCAGAGAAACCAGAGAGAAGATGGCCTATTCAGAGTGAGAATGATGGATCGACGAAAAGTAGCCCAGTGAGCTTAACTATAGTTGATGATGGGCCTCGAATGGCCTATCACACTCGTTTCTTTTCTTGTTCTTCTTCCCTTGCCTAGGCTTCTTGCCTTTACTATTCAGTGCGCACCTTCGAATCTCCAAAGCTCCAACCGGAAGAATCTTTTCTGCAAATCTTAACAGAGAAACCAGAGAGATGGCCAATTCGCTCGTAGGAAAATCCATAAAAGCAATAAAAAATCCGAATCTTCTCACTGCGCTCTCAGCTTACCCCATTCGCAAATTAAGTTCCGCTGCCACCGTTGAACAGCCTCAGTCGGAGGGTCCCTCATCGTCCTTCGCCTTTTCCTCTGACGGGAGCAATGAGAAGAACGAGGATAGCATATACGTCAAGGGACCAAATTGTAATCGCAGGCAAGATGCGTCGTCTTCTTCAGTGACCATGCCCATGTCGTTCATGACTGGGTCGATTGTGGGAAAGCGGTTCTACAAGCAGGTAACAACGAGGGAGGCAGATGATGGGAATGGTTGCACGGTGATGCTGGACTATAGAACTCTCAAGACGCCTTCCAAGAAGCCTCTGAAACTCCCTACTCTCGCTCTTGCTAAGGCCATAGCTGCTGAATGGGAATATCAGGTATGCTTGTTATGTCTTGGTCAATTCCTTTCTAGGTTCAGGTCTGTGCAACCTCCTTTCACTGTCTCTTCCTGGTGTAATTTTTCCTTTTTCAAAAGAAAGTGATCTCATATGAAACTTTGAAGCTATTGCAGGAAGTAATGCTGCATATTATACAGTAGCTACTGCCGATAACTAGTCCTAGGAACAGATTGTGAGCATGTTATACAGAGTCACAGTAATTGCCAAGCTGAAAGTGAGTCTAGGTTAGACACAATTCCAAATTGTTGCAGCACCCTGTAATTGATGCTTCAAAATTCGTCTTTACTGAATAGATCTCGAAGCTTTATGTTTCTTTGTTAGAAAACAAAATTGGATCCTGACAAGGGAGCCTGAAATTTGTACTAGTTGATTATTTCATGTTGGTGTCCAGTTCCAGTTGCCTAAGTTAATCATAAAAGTGAGCGCGCTTCCTCGTGTTATAACTATTTAGTAAATATTTGCAATATAATTTCTTATAGAAGCTACAATTACGCTAGGGTTTATCTCTAATTGTTGCAAATTATCGGCATTAGAGGATCTTGTTGTTTGAGATAGGAGAATTATTTATTCAGGAGTTCAGCCCTTTCAGCTAGATCAGTCTCTAGACCTAGCGATTTTGGTTTCATAGTACATCCCTCACCCCGTCCATATGAATGTTTCCCCTTAAAACTTTATTCAAGTTTTTTATATTTGATATTTTGTTTGACTCGTTATGGCTGGTGAGGAGTATTATTTAATTTGCACTCAGATTAATTTTGATTAATCGCAGGAAAAAGATGGCATAAGGCCTTTCACAATGCCTCTTATGAAGCTTGCTTGTACGGCCCTGGAACGAGTTCCTGTCACTCGGACCAAAATCATTGAGAATTTGATGAAGAAATTCAACCAAGATCTAGTCTTTTGTCGTGCTCCTGGTGATAACGATCTTACAAGCAATGTCCGTGGTATGCTATTAGTTGATATTTCTCTTCTTTCAGACCTCAAATAGCAAAGTATCATACGATTGGTTGCCCAAAAAAAAAAAAAAAAAAAAGAGCAAAGTGTACGATTGCCTGATGTGAGTTTATGCTCTGAGTGAATAAAGAGAATCATCACCGCAAAACGGAAAATTATAAGATTAGAACAAAAGAAGAATAATGTTATGTTTGATTGCTTGGCTGTTTAGCATATAAGTTTAGGTTGGAGAATTAATTTTTCAACATAAAATTTAAATTTTATTGCAAGTTTTTTCACTATTTGCAAACTGCTGTAGAGGAGTAATAGATTTGTTATATTAGTTAGTCTAATGAACTCTTGGTTAGACGGTTGAATGATGCCTATGTGTACAAATACGCTTGAGTCTAATCCAGTAAAGATATGACGTGGTTGATTTGATTCATGCACATGCTCCAGCCTACATGTACAAACACCTGAATAGTGTAGCTCATTGACCAAACTCTTTCCCATGGATGAGGAGCTTACCCAGTTTACATTATAGGCATGGGAGGGGGACTCGATTCCCACATTGGAATTATGGATTATAGTGTGGGGTTTATAGGGACCTTAGGCTCTCTAACTTGGCAGCAAGTGTTGGATGTGGTTTTCTCGAAGGTTCCTATAAATTGGCATCAAAGCCTTGCACTTTGCCCTAGTTGCAATATTGCAGCTCAGGTAGTGACTCTAGTGTTGGCCCCGGGTAGAAAGCTAATGCAAAGCCAGCCTACTTGGGCACTGAGGTTATGCAGTGTGGTGGAATCTTGGGAACCAATGATAAAATATGGGACTTGCGTTCAGCAATTATGAGATTCTAATGTAGTATTCATAGGGACCTTGGTCTCTCTAACTTCGCGAGGTAACTTTTGGGTTTCCTCTCAAGATCCTTGCTGCATTTGAAGCGATTATTAAACACTATTTCTTTTAATTTTCTCATAGATCAAAGGCATTTGGTTTAAGAAGCATTACAGTTATAATTAGCATGGAACTGAACACGCACACGCTCCCACCAATTCTGACTTAGATCTTTGAAATTTGTAGATCGCCAAGTGGAGAAAATTGATCCCCTGCTCCATTGGGTGGAGTTGGAATTTGGCTTCAAACCTACTGTCTACTCCAGCTTTTTTGGTGGAAAGCAGGATGATGGTCTCTGCAAGGCCGTAGAGAACCTTCTAAAGGGAACGGATGATTGTGAATTGGCTTCAATTGATGCCATCGCCGCAGCAGCTCACTCTTTAATTATTGCTATTGCTTTAATTCGTGGTAGACTGCAGATTGAGGAAGCAATCGAGCTTATTAGACTAGAAGAAGATTTGCAGGTTCCTACTTGATTAACCTTCCCCCTCTTTACATAATCACCTGTTTGGTTTTTCTCCCTGAAACTTGTGCTTGAAAATCGAAGCGCCGAGCTTTGTGCCATTCTTGATCTTTTGAGAAATCAAGTAACAGTCTTTATTGTTCCCCCCTCCCCTTCCAGATAGACAAGTGGGGCCTGGTTGAAGGTGGGCACGATGTGGATATTGCTGATCTCAAGGTGCAGATTTCTTCAGCCGCTGTTTTTCTTGGTTTGTCGAGGAGAATATAATTTCTGCACATCGTCTCTCAATCCAAGTTATCATACGAAGAACTAGCTATCAGGCTAGTTCATGGAACAGGTTGTCGATGTGATATCCAGAGCCTACTCAAGGTCGCGAGCAATTTTGTATTGTTGATGAGTTAATACCTGATAATTAGGAATTTTCTGGGTGATAGAATAAGACGTCAACTTCATTGCGTGAGATGTTGCCTAGACTTCATGGCAGTCAATGTTTGGTTTGTGGGTTGGAAGAAGGTGATGAAATACGCCATTGACACGTTTCAATACAGATGTCAATGTTTAGTGAGTAGACAAACAATCACGATGTTCACAGAAATAAAAGAAACAAAAAAGGAATCACAAACACGAATTTAGGTACGTAGTGCATGATAGAGCGTTATATTTTTGCCAATGACATAGCTTTGAGCAGATGAATAATTGAAAAACTCGTATGCAAGAAATACATTTACTCACATTTTTGTTGCTAGTGGTGTTTCTATAACATCGGTACAGCATTATTTAGTAATGGAATTTTTTTCACTACAAAAAATGACTTTAATTATCCACGACTATGATTTGTAATAGTTCATGAAAATGATAACCAGCAGAGTTTCATGAAAACGAAAATTGTGGGGACGATGAGACTCAGAATCATGAGGGGTGTGTTTCAAGGATCATCTCGACAGCATTGGACGCAAAGGGGCGGATGGTATGTGATGTCGCAGTTGCAACAAGCCATGTCGCAGTCATTATTACATCCTGCACAAACATTATTAGTCAGCGCTGAAGGACGTGATCTAAAAGCCTTGCGTTTTCTCCCTTCCCCCCACTTCGTTACCTGTTATGGTCACAAATTGGGGTGGTTCCATGTCCAGAGGAATCCTGACATTTGGAAATCGAGTTCTTCCTACAACACTGGTCCCTTGTTCACATAGGATCACGAAAGCCAGGAGCAATGCTATTTCCAACATCTTCATTGGCCTCATCGTTGATTACCTGGTGATTGGAATTAGAATAGCTCAAGGTTATGTCGGCTTTTCCCGGTTGTGGCTTGCAAGATTGTGGACAAGTATCATCGTGACAGCCTTACCCCTCACGGCTTCCGTTATGTATTGAAGCATCTCCTCTTTGTAAATCATTACATCGATTTCACATTCCGATAATTTTACGCAAGCCGTGAATAGATGTAATGATCATTTCATAACTGTGTCCATACACACTTTCTGATTTTAGTTACTTTATTTGCTTAATTACGTTGAAGGTCCCTCATGAAAATTCTATGAAGTGATTCCCCATAGTCCATACCCACCACCGAGGCTTCTCTAATGAAGACACAAAATAGCTCTTCTAGCTCGGCCGAGATTCCACAAAAGTTCTACTAGGGGGGAAAACACAATAATTGAAAGACAACTATAAAACGGTAACAACTCACGTATGAGTCTTCCCCCACTTGGTACTAAGCTTGCCGCAGCACGATCTTGATTGCGCTTCTTCTGTCATCAAAACATCACGAGATTGGGAACAGAACAAGAAGATGCGTAAGTTTTATATCCATGTGTCAGTTTCAAGCAATAAAAAGGTCAATCCTCTACCCTTAGAACAAAGATATGATCGCTCCATGTAATGCATTGGCTGCAAAATCAGCACTCTTGAATTGTTTTTACATCCAGGTGCTCCAATACTGACACCCGTACCTTTATAAACAGTCGGTCAAATAAATTTAACCGTCACGAGACAAAGACAATTTGAGATACAAGCACAGCTTTATAACCTCACGGGCGGAATATTAAGCTTCTAAGCAGAACGACTGCTGCCAGTTCATGAGATAGGATTCTCTATCAGCACTTAGTTTCGAAGACAAGGGTAACATGCTCAAAACTCCAAATTCACAGAAAACAGACTCGTAAATACTTGAGCAGGCTTTATTAACAATCTAAATTATCATCCCCCACGTTGAATGGAAATCAATTATCAATTGCACACATCATCACGCTTCTAACATTAGAAATAGAATCTCAAGTCCTGGCCAATCCCATCTCAAGGTTTTTGATATGTTGGATTTGCTTTCCAGGGCTCAAGCCCTTTGGACAGGCACGAGTGCAGTTCATTATGGTGTGGCAGCGATAGAGCTTGAATTCATCGTTAATGGCCTCTAATCGCTCTTTAGTGTACTCATCACGACTGTCGCTGATCCACCTGCAATAAATTCGACAAGAAGAATTAAAAATACCATTTTTACCGGGAAGAAAACAGAAATGTCGCTGGATATAAAAAAATGTACAAGACCAAGGTCCAAAAAAATTCACATAGCTTTTATCCCAAATGTGCAGGGAATCAATTAGAAGGGGCGTAGGAACAAGAACAGAAATTGTACTCTATCTGAAGTCCAGACGAACAGAAATTTAAAGAGTTTGCCAAAAAAAAGAACATGCATCACAATTGACAGCTTAGAAAGCTTATTTGCGAAACCACAAGCAATTCACATAATTCCCATATGACATAAGTAAAATTAATAAATTCCCGAGCCAGTTTATATACATAATTTACACACGAGTTAAAGAATCACAGGTCAAACTAAATTTCATATTGAACAAATCAAATACAAAAAAGCAGTTACTGAAACAGTCAATTGCACAGAGCGTTGATAAAGGATGAAGATACTTAAACAGGTATTACCTGTTAGCGTGGAGCAGAGCTGCGGGGCCCAGATACGACTCGGGATTCCACCAGTAGCTAGGGCAGGATGTGCTACAGCACGCACACAATATGCACTCGTACATCCCGTCAAGCTTAGCCCTATCCTTCTTGCTCTGAGGTACCTCCTTACCAGGAACGGGGGGTGGGTTCTTCCTCTTCAACCAGGGTTCAATACTCTTGTACTGATTGTAGAAATTGGTCATATCCACGACGAGATCCTTGATGACGAACATATGAGGCAAAGGAGTGATCGTGGTTGCAGAGCTCGTAGGGATCTTGGTCAAGCAAGCTAAGCCATTGCAGCCATCAATGTTCATGGCGCAGGAGCCGCAGATTCCCTCCCGGCATGACCTGCGGAAAGTGACGGTGGGATCGATCTCGTTCTTGATTTTGATCAAAGCGTCAAGGACCATGGGCCCACACTCGCGGAGATTGATCTGGTACTCCTGAAGCTGAGGCTTGGAAGGATTGTCGGGGTTCCATCGGTAGATTTGGAAGGTCTTGAAGGAGGCGGAGTCGCGAGCGGTGGGCTCCACCTGCTGGGCTTGAGCCTCGGAGGCGTGCGCTCGAGCGCTCAGCAACTTGGACGCCGGCGACGATGAAACCCTAGACAGTACTGACCTTCTGAACAAACTCGTCGCCATTGTTCTCTGCAAGAGAGAATACGAAGAGAAGAGACGCTGCTAGTGGGGGGCACGGAAGGCGATCAAAATCAAAATGGTTAAGGTCTTAAGGATGAAGAGGAACGAACTACGATAAGAATTAAGGAAATAAATAGGGGTATTTTGGGCAATGAGAGAACAAATTAAAGGCTATTTGTTACTTTACGTGGGAAAATGCTTGAACGCCCGGTGGTCGACGTGCCCCCATACTGCCCGCTGCATTCGTCAGTTCGTTTAATTTAAGTGGTTAGCGCCATAGCCGTATGAAATTGTGAGTAAGACGGTGTTTGGATGGAAATCAAACTATAATTTTAAAAGTATTTTTACGGTTTACGAAATAAATATATGAGGAGTTTATCTCATTTTACAGAAAAGTGCTTTTGAGAAGTACTTTTGAGGGTTACCAAATACCCTCTAAATTACTCCAATTTTTTCAAATCAAAATACGTTAGTTCAATATTTTTACAAGGAGTTTTTCTAAAAATGATTAAAAATGCATAATAGCTAAAGAATTAATTTTCTTCAATATAAGTAAATTATAGAGAAATTAGATATTAATAATATAAACATCATAAAAAAAATATCATGAAAAGTCATCCCCCAACCCTCACCGAACGTATTGTCGTAATGACTCTCGATGTATGGGCAGCAAATGGCTTTCGGTTTTGGATGACATACTTATTTGGGCTGCTGGATGAGACAACTTTTATTGGGCCGAAATTATTTTGAGTTCAGATTTGGGCCATTCGGGTCATGTAAGTGCTGGGGCGGAAAAAGCTTTTTAAAATTTTCCTGCATCTGTGGATTGTCAATACCACAGAACTTCGGATCCATCCCGCCAGTTCCGTCGTCCGCTAGAGAAAATATTCGGAATAATTAATTAGTAAAATCAATAAATCTCGTCAATTTTCTTGGCCAGTCCCGGAACACGTCACCAGTCCTCTCCAAAACCTTTCGTAAAACTCCTTTAGCTAAGTCATCTAGTTCATGAGTAATTATGAAACCGCGATGCTTCTTTACCAAAGATAAAATTTCATAAAAGAAGCAAAGGCCAACAAAGGTGTGGCGGTACTAGTAAACCATAATAAAATGCATAAATAGAATCCAATACCAATTACCAAGTCTTACTCTTCTAAGACCTATAAAACCAACGAAAATAACAAAACTCAAGCACTCTAGCCTAAGACACGACCTGAGAGAATTCAAATAACGTAAGAAGCCACAAAGGCGGAAACAAAGAAGACGATCTTGGGGACGAGCGGCGAAGCTGGATGACGAAAAGCAGAAGAAGAGTTATGATGGTGATGATCAGGAAGTGAGTCCTCCTGGGTGAGCACCCTCACGATCATCTTCTGTCCTTTCTGGCAATGCCCAGCCGCGCCACTGATGAAGTAGAAAGAGCCCGCATGGTCGAACCTGAACATTGTGTTTCCGTTGTTGGAGAACATGTTTGGGTGACTGGAATTGCAGTTCTTGTAGCCTTCTTCCTCCACCTCCATCACCGAGTCTTTCTTGTACTTAAACCCTACACCACACCAATGACACAAACTAAACACCATTAATCTATGTTCAATAATGATGAGAAGAAGATGAGCATGAACACTTACGTATGGAATCACCAACTTGGAACCTATTGTGTGAAGCCCATTCATGGTACATGTTGGTCTGATTGGCAGGTGGGACTACCCATCCTGCTGATCCTCCTACCTGGAACTCAAAACCAGACGCACAGCACAGCACTGTGGTGAAGAGGAGCACAGAAAGGAAGGTGGAAGAGGCCATTGCAAGGAGGAATGAACAAGATTGAGAATAAGGCCACGGAGATGTGAATTCGAGAGGGATATGCTGATAAATACGCAAGTTTTGATTCGATTCGATTCATGTATATATAGAGATGGAGGGTGGTGAAGTAGGCTTAGAAATAGGAAGTTGGGAAGAGAAATGGAGTAGTGGGCGGTTACAGACTGACGGTGAAGCTGGGAAGTGCTAGGTAGTTATTTTTGACTGGGTCTGATTAATTAATGAACTTGGAAAGAATTACAGATTTAATCAAGCCAAACACAACAGAGGTGTGCCCTGTAATTCCGGGTTATGGGCTTACGATGGCTTACTCTTGTTCTCATTCATTCAGAAAAGTACCTGGACAAATATTACCCTAGTAATTACATTGTCAAGCCCTTAATCATTATCTTTAATAATAAGGATATGTGTTTTCTCCACTAAACAATGCTAGAAGGTGGCAAAAGGGGGGGGGGGAAAGACTAATCAATTCTAAAAATCTGCTGCTTTAGAGGCGTTACTTGTTTGGTTGCTCTCTGGATGGAATGAAATGTGATTGCATTTTTTCTGCAATGTAAGCATTCATTCATATTGATATTGAGTTTAAACTGCCAAAGCCATGTTTCTGGAAAAGTTTGGGCGTATATCAAACAGTGTCAGTGATTAGAGATGGTAATAGTGATGACGCTTGGAAGGCAAAAATAGATTAAGAATAAAGACTATTACACTACATGTATAACACCGTATTTGATGCTTTTAAGGTTAAGATGAAATTGTCAAGCAAGAAATTGGCGTCAAGAAATTTCCACGTCTCTTTCAACACGTACTGACTCTTGATCAGACCCGTTAGTTTTTCTGCCCTTAAAAGAATTGAGACTAATCATCCGACCAAATGCACTCTTTGATCTGGCCATTGGATGAGCTCCATGCTTCTCTGCAAGATCATCGGACAATTTGTTCACAAGATAATCAAACCGCCGCCGGAATGTTGGGAACCTCGACATCGATTTCATGATCCCTTGCAGCCTGACATATAATTCAACAGAAATATCAGACCAGAAAGCCCCAAAGAAAGTGTTCGAAAGCTAAGCCTTTTTCATTTGTTTTGGTCTTTTTATCTTTTTATCACCTTCTAGCCAATCCATCGAGCTCAGCACGCTTGCGCTCCGGTTCAGGAGCTGGGCCGACGCTAGAACTTTTTATTCTCTCAAGATCACCACTCCAAAGAACTAATTTGCTGAGGTAATCCTCTTCCGAGGGAGAGAGATTCTCTGCTTTGATTTGGTCTTTAATGATCAAAAGAGGATTAAGGAACCAATCAAAGAAAGTCTCAGATGGTCTGTTTGTGGAAGTCAGCTCTATATCATCAGCTGCATCAACAGAAGAAAGATGGACATGGGAAAGAGAGAAATCAGATAACCAGAGAAGGAAAACAGAAAAGAGAGAGAAAAAAAAAAAAAAGAATTACCACCGCTCCAAGTCTTTCACTTGTCACTTACTTAATAAAATACCAGTGGAATTTGCTTTTGCAGAGCGTATTAGTGCCTGAAGAAGGCAATATGCTGGAAAACCAACACTGATAATTTTACTTCCTTTACCAGACTTGGCTTCTTCAATGTCCTGACGCGTGATTAATCCTTCTGAAACCATTCTTTCTCCAGCATTATGACATTCTCTAAATAACCCGTCTAATAGCTACACAAGTCATGAACAATCTCCATTTAGTACAGATCTGAGTTTGCAATAACATAGGAAATGAATTATCTGTCAAGAATCCCTGGACACATTATGCTACAAAGAATACCTCAAGTGGTTTTAGTTCCCCAATAGTATTTTTCAGTGAAGATGAGCGAGAATACGTCTTTTTGAAGGAGCCGGGTTTCGAGAAGGAAGATGCACGAGAAGTTGATTTTGTTGACTCACTCTTTCTCCGATACTGAGGCCTATTAAATATCAAGCTCGTAAAATACACATAAAGAATTAACAACATATCACAATAGTAAATTTTAGGGAGCAGAAGGAAACCTGGGGAAGCAGGATCCTTCTGGCATGTCAAGAATATCATTGCTGTATTCATCATAAATTGACATAGCCGCAATAATGTAGCGGAGCCCAAATAAGATAGAAGACTCCTGTACTTCAAGGAACAAATAAACGTTTTAAAAAGTGCTCCTGAAGTAACTTTAGCATCTACATAAGGTGTAGGCTTCATGGTTGAGGTGCTCAGCAGTAACACACATATCATATGTTCAAGCATTTTGGCTTAGCAAACATTACAGGAGAAATAGTCTGTAATTTATATTTACACTAACAATAGCAACAGAAACAGTGGGAGACTGAGAAGCCTATTAAAAAGGCCTCTTCAATCATATAGAGAAGACACAGCTAATCATATAGATAAGGATTTACCTGATAAGCAACTATCCCTGCATAAGCACCGAGGAAGACGCTCGCTAACATGGACGCCAGAACTGACCCAATAACAGCCAAAGGCCACAGAAGAATAGCAAGACCGGCGAAAGGTACACATATTGTCTCCAAGAAAGGTCCTTCACGACCTATGAGGTCATGAAACAAACGTTTCCATCCTTTAAAAAGCATGTAAGGACTTTTGAAGAGTGCCACAAATGATATCACAGGCCCGTCAACTAGGATACCAAGCACTCCTGCTATAATAGCGCCAGGAAGATATAACAGTCTGCAATAAAACAGGAAAAAGAAATCTCATTAGAATTTTGAAAGAGGACTACCATGTAACTTAAGACTTCTGCCACAACAAAACATCATGTGTTATGCAGTACTATGAGTCATGTTATCTAGAAATCCATTTCACCGTCAAAATTTTTGTTTAGCTTCGGTAAACTTCCCAGTAAAGTTTACAAATTTTACTTTCCATGACGTAGAGTTGGCTATTCTCTGGTTAAATCTAGCGTGGACTAAAGAAACACGAATAAAACTTGGTGAGGCACTAAATAAAACCTGATCTCGAGATATTTCACATCCGGAGGCCCCTTCTGTCTCAAGTCATCCATAATCGAGAAATATGAATAGAAACACACATCTCTTACATCTCTCACAACGGTAAAGCTCCCTTTCACTGCGCTCCATGTACCATCCTGCAAATTGCAGTAAAGAATGCCATGTAGCGCATTACAACAGAAGAACTGATATTTCAACAAACATCTCAAGAACTAGAATTCAGAGACATACAACAATGCAGTGGTAAAACGTGTCACTCCTTCCTTCCCCAACCGCTTCAAAAGTTGCCAATATTGGTTGGAAAAACCCATACGCTGCTCCACCAATTATACTCCCAACTATGCCAACCACAGGCCACAAAATCAACAGCACAGGAAGAACACATGTGCAGATAACAAACTTCACAATTGGCCCTAATTGCTTAGCTCTGTCCGTTAAGGGAATCAATATAACAAAATAATTACGATTGCAAAGAAAACATTAGATCAATGAGCAAAAACTCGAGGGAGTGGCAACCACCTCACTACGCAGTAATATGTCCAGAGACTGTGCGCTGCCCAAAGACCAATGATGATAGTAGAGTTCCCAATGGTGATTATTAAGCATATCAATGGGCAAAAAATGATACCTGACATAAAAGTAGTGTAGTTTTAGCATTAATGATATAGCATGCATAATAAATTGAGTTTCTATAACATATCCCATGGTGGAAATGGTAAAATCATACTTTGAAAGGTGAAGATACCCGTAAGCCTTTTATACTAAATCATTCGAATAGAAGGCTTTTTGTCGGTTTCTAAGATTAACCATCGTAAATGACGCTGACCAAATGTAAGTATTTTTTTCCCCTCTAGATGATGTGATCGACCCTTCTTACTTTGCCATTAAAGTAATTAAAATGAATTGTTAGTCAGCAACAGTGTGTGAAAAAATAAGGCACTTGAGTATAACGCAAAATTCAACCCACCGTTGGTGTGCGTGGACAGAAGAAAGAAAGATAAAATCGCAGCCAAATGAATATTGAACAATTATGTTTAAAAAAGGTCAACTATGAACAAATTCTATGCATAAACGGGCTATCACAGAACTGTCACGAATTTATGATCTTTCTCAAAAATTTGAAACTCGAAGAAGAAACGAGAAAAGATTGACCCCCACCTTTAATGCTGCCTAGAAGTAGAAGTCCGATGAAGTAAGGAAGAAAGCGAATAAAGTTCAACAATGAAGCCCGTAAACCCGCGGGTGGTTCCATTGCTAACAAGTCCTTTCCCACTCAGATCTCTCTGAGATTACCACGAATCCATCGTACTCTGAACTCCAAGATCACCGCCTTCAAGTAGAAAAGATCCAAACTTTGGCCAGTTCAACCTTCACGAAGAGAAGATAAAGATAGGGAAAGAAACACCCAGATGCTTGAAGCTTGTTTCCAGGAAAGCCAGCGAAATAACTTGCGCAAAGAATCGAACTTTTTTCATTCGGAGCCTGGTAACCATAGATGTGGATAAACAAAGATATGAATTTTCTGAATCCCCTTTGCTAGTTTCTGGAACTCTGAGTCTGCTAAATATTAATAAAATATTAGAAAAAGAAACACAAGGATATTTATTGAATATGAGACTGTTAAAACAGTTCTCGACCTTGAAATCAGGGGACAGGAGAATATCATGAAGGGAGCAATTAACATCAAAGCATCAGGATCAAAATAATGCTTAATTGCCCACCAAAATCCTCACCTGTCTAATTCCCCTCTCGTGCTGGTTCTTCTGTTCTTGGGGATCAGTTATTCTTTTATGCTTAAACCAAAAGCCAAGCAAGTTGGGTCACGTATGGTGTGGCGTTGGGAAAAGGAACCATTTTGATATTTGAATGTGTCGACAAAAGGAGTCTTTGGTACAAGTAATTATTTTTAAATGCTTTGGTTTGCTTCCACACCGATTCCAACAGTGTCACTGGGTGTAATGCCGCGGAAGAAGGATTAAAAACCTGTTTGGCCGTTGGCGAGAAAGAACCTTTTTTTGCCGATATTTTTAATTATATCCTTCCTTTTTTTTTTCCCACGGCATGCCTCAGTCTCCCAAAAAAACAACGACATGACTCAATATAATAACTGTCTGGACAGAACACCTGTCTGCCACGTCAGGTTTAGAGGGCCAGGCTTCCGATTCATTGAACCCAAGTTCTCACTTTCTTCTCTCTTGATACATTCGGATTTCGGAAATATAGGTTAGCAGTTGGCATCCTTGGAGTTCGAGGGCTACAAATTGGGGGCTGTCATTATTATATGTGGCTTCGCTGTAAAAAGATTCGATTTTTTTTTTATTTTCTTTTATTTTTCTTGCGTAGGCCAAGATTTCAATAGGGGTGTTCACGGGACGGATCGGGACCGGGACAGGCCCGTCCTGGTTCCGTCCCGGTGAACAGTAACGGGACAGATTTTCTGTCCCGTGTCCCGGCCCGTCCCGGGGTTGTCCCGGTCCCGGTCGGGACGGGACGGATCCGGGACGGGACTGGGACGTCCCGAAATTATTATTTTTTAATTTTTTTAATTTTTTTAATTTTTTTAAAAAAAAATCTGATTTTTTTAATTATATTTTTTTGAGCTTAAATCTTATAAAAACATCTTTTTTATTTGTTTGGGCACTCTTAAACAAAAGCTCAAAATATTACATATAATAGTTATTAAAAACTCTAAACAAAAGCTTTTAACACAATAAAAACTTGCTAAAAATTCTAATCATCAATAATCTCAAATCATTAACAAATATAAAAACTCTAAATAAATATATCCATAATTCCATACAATAGTCTCAAATCTTTAAAAAAATATGAAAAAAATGATATTATATAAAAAATTAAAAAAATTAATTTTTTTTTTTAAAAGGAACCGGGACGGGACCGGGACGGGACGACCCCGTCCCGTGTCCCGTCCCGTCCCGGTCCTTTTTTTGTCCCGTCCCGGTTTGTCCCGTCCCGAAAAATTTCGGAACGGATCCGTCCCGTCCCAATAAGACCGGGACCGGAATGGGCCGACCGGGACGGGCCGGCCTTGAACACCCCTAGATTTCAATTCATCCAGTGATACTCCCCTGTCACTGTGATGCCGACTCCATAACCATCCAAACGCGCCAGCTCCATAAAATAAGAAATAATATCGCCTTTTCCGATAAAAAGAAGAATCAATGCCTCCCAAAAAGAAAAGAAAAGAAGAAGATAAAAAGAATGCAAAAATAAAAAGGAGAAAATGACGCCGATTTGTTTGCTATTGAGATATTGGGTTTTGGGGTCAAAATTGTGAAATTGGTTAAGGCTCTTTTTTTTTTTTAACCTGAGGTTAAGGCTCTTTAAATTTAGTTAATTAGTTTAATCAATAAATATGAATATATATATAAACTTCGGGCAAGATATTGAAAGTAACGCAAACTGGATTTATCATAGTGATTACTATTATGTGCGCGATGTTGAATTTTAATAGCATAGGATGTGAATATAGATGTAAAATATATATATTTGGCTCGATTTTGTTTTAAAATTATTTTAATAAATCTAACACGTAAAAAAATTATCATGCGAAAAGAGTGCCCAGGTTAATGTCTTTTTGACTTTCTGTAGAGGTGGGTGGTTGGGTGCAAACTTCTCCATGAAAGCTACACGTACACGCTTCGTAGCTTGCATGTTTCTCTTAAGTGCACATTAAAACAGTGAAATGATTAACGCACGCCTGGTTTGGATAGGGGAAAAAAAAGCATGTATATGGAGAATAAAACACCATGAGAAATAACTTATTCAACTAAGGAAAAAAAAATACTTCTCTAATTTTTAATATAAGACTTATTTAACTAATTTAATTATATTAAAAAATTTACGTAAGGTAGTTAAATATAAAAAATATGATAAGTTTTTCCTGAAATATCATAATAATTTTTTTAATATCCCCCTCCATCTTCTATTTAATTATGGTTAAGGGAGTATCTATAAGGGTAATTTAGAAAAAATTGATAAATATGATAAATAGATCTTATATTTAGAATCAAAATCAACTCAATAATTAGATTCTATATTAAAGACAAGAGGAGTGCTGTCTTTAAAATTATTATCTCTCGTGTCTTTTTTTATAATATAATTATACATATATATATCATCAAAGCATATTCTCAGATATTGATAGTGCGGTAATTAATTAGTTGATTAAGCTTGACTAAGTGTTTAATTTGATGATCATCAAACATAAACCCTGTGGGCGTCACCATCTATTATCGGATGAAGGTTTAGTGCGTGTGTCCCTCCCTACCTTTGTCTTTTTCATACATAATTCGTGTTTACGCAAGCTAACATCTTTAAATCATCCTAAAATGTATCAGATCTTAGTTTAAGATAAGTAAAAAAATTTGTACCAGGCATAACCAATCCTCAATAAAATTGTCTACTTTTGTGCTATTTATTTGGTTGGTATATCCCTCTATTCATTTAAATGCAAGTTGTCTCTAATAACCTTGTGCTAAAAGTAAAAACCAATTATATTATTTAGAGATGAGACTGGAGACATTGTATTTTTATTAATAACAATCACACTAATAAATCAAATTATTTTTTCCTTCATTTTACAATTCTAAATATATTTTTAAAAATAATAACTCGAACAAAGAAAAAGTACAGGAAAATCATGCATTGAAGCCATATACTATTTTATCCGCAAAGTTTTTTCTTTGTAAAAGTGGAGATTTCAGGGAAAGAAAAGCATGTTACATACCCTAAATTCTTTATAAAATAACATTTTCTTTCTTTCCTCTCCCCCTTATGCAGAGGCAAAATCATTGACAGATATCTGACGTGATATTTCTTGACCTCAATATAAAAGTTAAACAGTTAATTTGTAATAAATATATATTGTTTTTTTTAAATTATTCTCATCTAATCATATACATTAGAACTATATTTAGGCAGAAATATCTTATAATTAATAGTAATATTTTTGAAAACACATTATAAATTTTCAGCTAAAAAAAAAAACACATTATAAATTTAAAAAATAGAATAGATTGAAATATTATTTAGAACTATTAACTAGCTTTTATGTTTAATAGCGGAGATAATATTAAACTGATGCATCCATCCGAAGATGGCTAATCCGGACAGCGTAAGTTTATGGTTACCGTGGAGGCAACGATGCTTCGTGCCCATTTAATTATGATCGTCGTTTTACGCTCAGTCTTCATTTTGATGGCAAATCCAAGTAATTTAATTTCAGTAATTAAATAAAATCAGTAAAGTTGAGGGTAGGAGACTAATAGTTCAACAACAACCGTCAGAATCTGTAGGAATCTGACATGACGTGTCACCTGCAGCGAATTTTTTAATAGCTGCATCTATAATTTACAAGACATAACATGCGTAGTACAATCGGAATGAAATAGGCTTTGTCTGGGTAAAATGTTCAAATATTAAAATACAAAAGAAAAGAGGACGTGGCTAGTCTGCTTTGGTGACCGACACTGACTAAGAGGAAGGGGCCTGTGATCCCGAGACACCATATCATATCCCTGGTTGGCTGTAAAAACCTTAGTATTTATTTAAAAATTTAATATTCTTTTTTACTTTTACCCCTCAATTAGTTACTCTACATGAATATCTCTCTCTTTTTTTTCTCACTCATTCTTTCTAATATTTTTTCTTTATTCGTCATTTTCATAAATATAAGGATTTATTTTGAAAAAAATTTCATTTTTTATAAATTTATTACTTTTAATTAATTTTAACTAATATTTTCATCCATATAGTCTAACCTAGCTGTCACTTGTATGTAAGACAGAAGGGAATAGCAGCAAAATTGGATTCTGGCGAAGACAACATGATAATTATAGTTTATGACTATGTCCTTCTTCCAGCATTATTCACTTAATGACTTCAGCGTCCCCTCCGACCATTTCACGTCACCATCATCTTTCACAATTCATAACCCTTTTTTTTTTGTTCCAATAAAAACACATATGTTCCGCTTTGGGCCCATTTAAATGGCCTGCACCGGCCCATCTCCTGCAGCAATTATTGTCGACGAAAACAGCTGAGAAGATTTTGTCACAACAGAACGTAGCTGTGAACTTATGACTGCACGACCGTACATATAATCTGCGTGTCTTTAGCTATTAATATGGCATTTCTTTTTATTTACCCAAAACTGAAAGAGTTACTTTCAATTTCCACTTGATTTCAAAGGTGGATGAAAGTTAGTGCTTTCTTGTTCAGACCAACTCGCAGCACAAATAAGATTGAGCTCCTATATTTGACGTCAGTTTTAAAAGCGAAACTTGCTCGGTTACGTATGAGCAAAGAGAGGCCCTTCATTTGGCTCTCGACAATTTGAGCATGACACGGCCAAGAGTTTCCAGAGGAAGTATCAGATCCCCGATTTACTTGACAAATAGGAAAGGCAGAATATACAAACGTTACAAACAATAATTGACAATGGTAACATATAACAGCGCTAAATTACTGATTCACTACCTTCTCTCTGCGAGTAATAAATTTCACTCCTATCAAATGCTTTACTTTTCTTGGGAACATCTGCCAAGTTATAAAATTCAGTCAGTGTCTTTCTAACCTGCACTTTCTTCTTCTTCTCTGGAGGACGTGGTCCTAAGAGACTTAAGTCAATGGTGGCTCCATAAGCCCGAGAAGATTCCAACACAGCATCATAGGCTTTTGAAGATAGATGAAGTCCCTCATTGTGTGCCCTCGTGTATAACTCAAATGCCAGCTTCGGCTTCCCATCCTTAGCAAGAGCCTCAATCAGCATTTCGTAAGTTATCTCGTTCGGAGCAATCTTCTGAACTTTCATCCTGTGAAACCATTCATAGGCTGCACTTCCCATGCCATTCCTTGCACAGCCACTGATTATTGCATTGTACGTCACTACTGTGAGTTCAATTCCTAGTGCCATCATCTCGGAAATGATGTCATCAACTCTGTTAAAATTTCCAAGGGCAGTATGAATTGAAGCCATGATTGTGTAGGCATATGCATTCGGCTCAACCCCTACCTTGATCATATGGTCCCACACTCGAAGGGCCTCGTCGTAGAGTTTTCCCTTTTCCAGAGCACTGAGTAAAGCCCCATAGGAAATTATAGTAGGTTTTTCACCATTTTCCACCATTCTCTTAAATATTTGCACAGCTGCATTAGTTTCTGAAGCCTTGGAACAGGCCACAAGAACCGCGTTCCATTCTTTGCTTCCAGGTTTTAGTCCCTTATCTTCCATCTTGTTTAGCAACCTGACACCCCATCTCCATATTCCCCTTTTCTTAGCTGCACTCAGAAGAACATTGAAGTGCGACATTATTAACTCATATGACAAGTTATTTGGCTTTGGCCCTTTGTCCAACAGATCCTCATATATCTCCAAAGCTGCCCACCACTTCTTGGCCTTCCCCATAAGCCAAATTGCATGGTTGCAGACAGACAAGCTGATTTCGCTATGCCTAGTTCTTATCCTGCTGTATAGCTCTTTTGCTACTGGGTAATGGTCTTCACGGGTACAAGCCCACTCGAGCTTCTCAAGCTCTGCCCGACCTGGATGAATCCCAGCTTTATCCATATCATCAAGCAACCGCAGAACTTTATTGCTTAAGTTATCATGGCTGACAAGCCAACGGCGCATTACCTGATAGCAAACACGAATTGTGAACTTTTCGAGCTTGATGTACTCAGCCTCCCAATCTTCTCCATCATCATCTTTTCCTATTTCACCTTGACGATATTTTTCTCTGAATTTAACAAAGAAATTTAAAGCTCCATAGCCATCTTCCATTCTTCTATATGCCAGCAAGGCTTGAGAATAGGACACTGCAGATGGAGTGAGGCCCTTGTTATGCATTTCCTCAAAAACACTGAGGGCCTTGTCGCCTTCTCCTTTTTCTATGTAGATAGCCATCAAAGTATTATATGTCACAACCTTAGGAGTGATCCCTGCTTGATCCATTTCATTCATAATTGTTTCAATTTCTGCAAATTCTTGAGACTGTTTGACTGCACCCAACAGACTATTATATATGAACAGATTTGGGCTAAAAGAACCATTGGTTTCAATCCTTTTCCTGTTCAATAAATTCATAAGAATTAATGCAGAATCCATCCTCTTCTCCTTGCCAAAACCTCTTATGATGGTTGAATACACCTGAGGGGGCAAGTCCCCTTTGTCCTTAAGAATTTCCTCCATTTCATCTACTGTCTTGGCAGAGAGCAAGCTGAATGCAAGTGCTCGAACATCAATTTTAGAGTCAATCTCTTCTCCTTGCATTTGTTCATAATAACTGTCTTGAACTTCATCCAAATTTAAACAGTTTATACCATCTCTGTCACTGTCAAGCGACGAACTGTTTATGGAATCAGTGTTCTCCCCGATAGCCTGATCCTCCAACGCCCATGCCAAGGGAGCCATGAATCCAATATCATTCTTTGGTTTGATAAGGGAATCGAATTTAAATTTAGAGTATCCCAACAAAATCCCACACTTCAAATCAAAATTTGGAATTCCAAAGCAAGCTTCACTCCTATTAGTTCTTGAATTACTTGAACAGTCAAAAACACCAATACTTCTACTCTGAGAAACAGAAAAAACAGGGCCCAACTTCTTTTTCCTTCTAATTGTCGCGCAGATATAGAAATAAGAATATACTTCAATGCTCGAAGGACGTACTGCAAAGTAGTTGCCATTTGAGGGCTGAGCGCTTAGAGTTTGCATGCTTCCCTCTAGGAAATAGAAAAGCAAGATAAAGCAAAAACCGAGGTAAGAAAATCTTACTTGCAGCTAGAAAAGCATAATCTTTCTGCTCATGATAGCATTACTGGGGAAGCAGAAATGGATGAGAACAGCAAATTGAGCTTAAAATACTATGTTCTGGATTTACGAATCTTTGGTAAATTAATCAATGAAGATTTTCGTGCCATGAAATTGATTTAGATTAGCTCGTTGGGTGTGGCCCTCGAGTCTCAATCCTTCGGGTGGATAGGCTTCGGATGAATTCAGAAGGCTTGGATGTTCTGGGGGGCAGCGTCGTGGCCTTCGTACAACCATTGATAGAAATGAACGAATCATAATACTTGAAAGCGAAAACCCAAAAGGCGAGAAGCAGGAAAAGGGAAATATAAATCTAAATATATTTTTATTTATATTTTTTATATGTTTGTAAAAGGAAATATCTCGGGCATATTACCAATTTTATTAGCATAGATTTTTTTTTTATATTGTTAAGGTTTTAAGAGTATGTGTGCAACTTCAAATGACAAAATTAAAATGAAACCGCTTAATTAAGATAGGATTATACCTATAAGCGTGTTACGCTGTTACCAGTTATTAATTCAAAAAAATTCCACAAGTGATTAATCACAAAATAGTTGTACTCTTTTTAATCCTATATATTATTTTGTATAAAGAGTTGCAGCATTAATTTTTTTTAAAAATACCAATTTACAGCTACTTATGATTTTTTTTAAAAAAATCATATTTTAAATGAGAATAAAACTTTTAAAAAAATATTATTTTAAAAGGATTTTAATTATTCAGCTTTCATTCTTTCAACGAGGTGAATGCAAAGAAGTGCTCACGGACGAAGTAAATTACTTTCCCTGGGAGGGAAAAACCAAAACTAAGGTCATTCCCACGATGGGAAATTAATTATAGAAACCATTTATTTTTTAAGGAATTAGTGCGATACAATCATATAACATCTATAGTTAAAACTAAATATTGGTTGGATACAGTAGAATGAACTAGTTTCTTATAAAGTGATGAATCCCGCTAAAAGAGATGTACACGTTTAGTACTGAAAGTGTCTCAGATAAAAAGGATATCTATGCGCATTTATTTAAAAAAAAAAAAAAGCTACGCCCTGTTCTCCTTCTCATGCAGATAGCTGTAACTTTTGCGTGCCACTTCGTCATCGTAAGTGAAGTTCGCACATATATTCATGGTAATTTCAGCTGCTTCTTCGTCTTTCCAAGTTTCTGAGTCTACTGCAGAGCTTCCCAATATGGGCCTTCTGAAAAAGCTCAAACCGTGCAATTTTGTATTCATATGTTAGGCTAACTAACCAACCAAAGAGAAAATTATGCTTCAGTATCTTAAGTTCTCAAAATAAACTGGGATTCTGCTTCTTTTCTGCCTAATTTCCACTGCTCTTATTGACTCATTGTTTCATGCACAGAGATGCTACCAAATAACATGTCTTTAGCCGCTGTGAGGGGACACAAAAAGAAAGCATATCAATGGCAAGCTTTATTCTAGGATTCTCGTGAGTGTAAGCAGAACTCGTACACAGAATCAGATGAAAAAGGCTTGGATGCAACTTTAAAGCGGTTCATTCTGATACCAAGAACAAGGAGGAATCCTTTGAAGCTGCTTCCCAAGAAAGATGAAGATGCCTCTGGCCCTCCCTCTCATGGGACCTCTTGTGCTTCACGTCTCTCACCTTACTTTTTTGACCCTATTATTATCTCAATGAAACAAGCTGTATGCACTTAATTACAGGACCCAACTACTTCAACTTTATAGCCTAAAGATCCATGATCCTTTTCTGATCAAGCTGCGTCCCCAAGCTTAGCTGAACTTCCGCTTACAACTTTAGCTTTAGCTTTGTCATTCCCTTTGTTCTGTGTCTGCGTGCACGCGTGGGTTTATGTAATTGGATACAAGACAAAGGCTATCATGTACTCATGATATTATATTCACATGTAATCCGAAAGAAATCAACACTTGTATAAGAACAGGGCAAACCGTCCATACTGACACCGCATTGCATTAACTTACACAGTTTTTTTTTTTTTTTTAATTGAACAAAGTCTCAAACCGACGGAATATAAGTACACATTAATATCATAGTTTCGTAATCTAAGACAAAGAGAAGAAAGATGCATATCATAATATCCGGCAATCTTCACTTTTCTCTGGTGGTTAGTACCTAATCACAGTTTAATTAAACATAAATTAGTCATACACTGATGGTACGACAAGAAGTGTTAATGGGTTGGCTTCTTCCTGCAAGACCAAGCAGCTTCTTCTCCTCCTTGATGGCTGGATCTTGTAGCAAGAGAACCTTGTCCTTGTCTCTAACACCAACCATGTGTAGGTATTCTTCATCCTCTCTCTCTCTGCCTTTGAACAAGACCCTCTGCTCTCTGGGCTCCATCTTAGTTATCAGTGACAATATCATCTTTAATTCCCCTGCAACAAACAGTTCATCCACCACTTTAGTCAAATACCTCATGGGTTTTTCTCAATTACGCCTAAAGTCTGAAACTTCGGGCCATAAATATTAAATAACCAGTTGAACCAGGAGAAGATTAGAAAAAGTGGCAAGAAGGGAATTCATACCAAAAGTTGAAGTAGCTTCGATGGAAATGTCATGCCAGTGAGACACAGTTGAAACTCTAATGGTGATGAGTCCCTCTCCTGCATTTTGACTGGTGTCCCTTTTCTGAACAAGCATGCCACCTGGACGAAGCTCCCATTTGATTTCACCCATGCTCCTGCAATCCTTCTCTGATGGGGCTGCTCTGTTTCCACTGCTCAGCTTGGAACTGCTTCTGCTAAACCTCATGGATCTTAGTTTCATCATCTTTCTCTGTCTGTCTCTGAGCTTTGTAGAAGAGGAAAAACCAGGTTGGTGAAGATGAAGATGGAGAGGCAAACGGGTTACATATATAAATACCAGCTAGAAAGCGTGGAAAAGGACAAAGATGGAAGCAAGAAGGCTTGAATAAAATAGAAGTCGCCCTTTTGTTGCAAGAAAGTAACACTTTTTTTTATTTCCTATCGTTTTTTTATTTTTGCAAATGGCCCAAGGCACAGAAGCACATGGGCAGTAGGTACTGATACATCAACACGCTTACTTAATTTATTTGTGGCCCAAGCATAATCCTAATGACTCAACTGGTCGGCTAGCTGGTCTTCTAAAGTGAAATACTCTTCCTATGAATATTCCAGTAAAGCTCTGAGAAAGCCCCCAAAATTTAATATTTTGGAATTGGGGATCATTCTTCAGACATAAAAACCAGAGCGAGTAAAGGAAAACTTGCACCGGGTGGTTTTACTTTCTGTAATGGCGGTTGGGCAGGCACTTATTTAAGGTATGAGCCCATGTGAAGCTAAGGTCAGAATGCTGCAGAAATGAAGGGATAAAACAAAATGAAGAAGAAATTAAAAGGAGAAAGAACAAACATTATAATAACAAAATGCAAGTATGAATTGGTTGGATCAGTTAAACGTTAAGACAAAAAAGAAGACAAAGGCACCTGGCAGCCCCTACATGTCCTATGACTGCGACACACATTTCCCCAATTATTGGATGAAATCCTTAATTCTTATCATCAATTAGTGCCATATATGCATGCACCATCCACTCATTGATAGTCCATTGGATATATATACCTTGTCCCCATTTTTAATCAAATCATCATATAATTCATGTTCGTGCGTTTGGACGTTTGTGTTCATACTCATTCAACTTTCTGGGGCATTGGATTGGAACAATAGGATCTAAAGCTCTGTGGTTCATCTGCAAGGCTCTTTTTATTTTTCCCCCCTAATTATTTAAGTTATGAATGTTCCCTATCTAATGAATATCCCCTGGTGGAAATTATGCTTATGTCTGAAATTCTTATACAACACTACAAGAACATCAAATAATTCATGTATATATTTATCCGATGATTGCTTCTATAATTAACGTAACTATCCAACATCCAAGAGATTGTGCTTGAGTACATATGAAAGATTGAAGACATTTTTGTGTTTTATTTATTTAGATTGATTTATACTACATAATCACAAACTTCTTGTCGTTTAGCCTCTTAAAGTTTCACAATTTTCATTTACTCCGGAAAAATAATTCCACAAATTTCTCACCCTAAGTGTGAAAAGACCTTTAATCTTAATTTATAAGAAAGCATTAGAAAACTTATTTAATATTCATTTCGAATAGTTTATAAATAATTTTTTAATCATAATTTATAAAACGTACTTATAAATATTTATATTAATATTAATTGATGTCAAACAAGCCCTTAAACCTGTAATTTAAACTTAAAAAAAATTGCCTCGTAATTTTCGAAAGAGGAAGCGGGGATATGCTTTGGCACTGAAACGCCAGAGCTGCAGAACAAGAGTTTCATGTCTAGAAGAAGCAAGCATGTCGGCTCTCAAACTGAAGCCTCCCGACCTTAATTTTCCTATCTTCATGGACTCCTCCGATATTCTTTATTTCAGTAAACAACCACACAGAGCATTTCCCCAATCCATCACCACACTACCTCCACATCCCCAACCTTCTCTCTCCTACTTGTTCTTAGATTCTGTAACTTACACCAAAATAATTCGATCATCGGTTAAAACTGGATCTCTGATACATGGAAAACTTGCTCATGCTCACATGATCAAGACTTCCTTCCAACCCTGTTTATTCTTACTCAACAATCTTCTATAC